AAGCTCGGATAATGCATATCAATAACAGATCATGCCTTGAGAATTAGGCCTTATAAATGAAATCGTTTCAGAGTAAGATACAGTAGTAACTAGGCTGATTCAGACTTTCTCCGTAGACAAAACAGCTGTAGCTTTGAGAAGGCAAGCCTTATGACAGCTTCTGTGTTGAATATTAGGGTGAAATCAAGTCTGGCCCTTGACTCAGCAGTTGCCTAACCACTGGGGCGACAGTCAAATAATTTGAGGTACTTGCCTTGAAAGCGTGACAAGCAACTTTCTGTCTAGTAGCTCATTCCCCCTAGTCTTGGTGGAGTGCTTTTTCTGAGAGAAGGATACAAAAGGTTACTGTGGCTGCATAAAGAGCAGGAAAAGGTTGTGTACTTTAAGGGCGGTCCCCTCCGCCTGGGGACAAACAGGGAGCAGACATGGATTCTCTGTCCAGTGGTCTTTGGTGGTAACTGGTGCATTTCAGTGATTTTGCTTGTACCTATTTTTGTTCTTTTAAGAAATCATTTTATTAAGGAGTAACGCTGGCCTGGAACCCTCTGAAGACATGTGTACTAATAATTTAGCTATGCTTGTGTTACTTTTGTGTATCTGTGACATGCCCAGTTTCCTCTCACTGGAAGGTAATATTTAAGATTCATATTGAGGCAGCTTGAACTGCAAGGACTACGTCTTTGATTTGGATATGCTTCCTTTTTTAGGGAATTTAATTTTTTTTTAGCTTGACTGCCCTAAGCAATGCTATCACTTTAGTTGATAATTAGCATTCATATGCAAATTGCAGCATCTGCCATGCTTCTAGCTTGCGAAGAAATTTGGCGACGATCCTGTACAGGCAGATCTTCCATTGAAGTAAACAGGACGCTTGATTATAAAGAAACTCCCGATCTTGGGGCTGGAGATAAAGCCCCCATTGTATCAGTCTGTGCTGAGCAGCAGTCACATGAAGAAGAGAACAAATAGGTTTTTTCAGCCCTTCATATTAGTAATATTCCAAAGTATATTCCTCACTGCTGGAAAGCTTAAAACTGAAATTGGTTCCTGAAGGTGTTTCATTGCATGTGTATGTAGATAACTGTGTAGTTTGCCTGTGTAGATTTACTTGACCGTGTAGT